ATATATATATATATATATATATATATATATATATATATATATATATATATATGTATATATATATATATATATATATATATATATATATATAGGCCTTGTGATGAATAAAAACTGCGGGACGCATAAGCATGACGTGATTTTTGACGTCATTAAATTCTTTTTATTTGCTTTTCATATTTATCAACATTAACTGCACCAATTTACTTAATTACCGCAAAACTACTTTAAATCATTAGTGTAGTATTTAAAAATGTTTTGGAATGTTTTATTTTTTAAAATGTAAAAACATTTGTTTATTTTCTCGACGTTTGACACGTTTTGTCTATATTAAACGAATAAAAAACATTATAACTAAACATTTAAAAAAGATTATAAAATATGCTAATATTTGATTTTTTTTTTCTCAAATATGTAATTTAAAGTTTTTCAAATAATTATTTTTTCTTTTTAAAAAGTCAGCAAGTAATAAACTGGAAATTTAAATATTGTATGATTAAAAACTGTGCAATAGCTAGTATTTTTACCAGCGATTTTATATAATATTTTTTTTGTTATTTTTTTTTATTTTTTTTCATAAAGCGATAAGCACAATCACTCGTATTACTAAAAAACTTTAACGAATGTTTTGAATAGATTTTTAATGTTTACAAGGAATTTTATTTCTAGTAAAATAAAATCTACTTGCACTAGCTGTAGTAGTAAAACAATTTTTTTTTTTTTTAAGAAAAAAAATTAATGCACGTTTCATATACGCCCTCATTTAGATATACTTTATATTTTAAGTTTTATGAAATGGCTTATTATAACAGGTTGCAAATTAATTTTTATTTTATTTTTTACGTTTGAGCCTTTTTCAGGGTGTTTGTGGAAATTCGCTTTACATCGGTAGAAACCGGGTAACAAAACCAGGTTATATAAACTTATTAAACTATTGACATTCTATTTTTCAGCGGCTGTTTTTGAGCACGCTTTGTTGAGGTTTGGTAACTTTTAACAAAAAAGCGATTGTTATTATTTAAGTAATTTTATATGAGTTACTTTTTACAAAAATTTTAATAGCTGTACTTTTTTATTGAATCAAGTAGAATACATTTTAATATTAATCCTTTTATTTTTTTTAATTTGCACTTACCAATTTTTAAAATGTTTCCTCGAAATTACTTTTAATTACTTTAAATACGTCTAACAGTTAATAAATATTTTTAAATCTATGGAAAAATTTTAAAACCCCCGTTAAATAATTATTTAAGTTAAAAATCTTACACTAAAAGAAAGTATTTTTCTTCAATTTTATCGACAACTTTGCTATTGCTGAATAATTTTATTAAAATGTTAGCTTAAAAAGATTTAAACTTTTTTTTTATTCTGATTTTTTTCTACTTGTAAATAATGAGCATATTTAATTTTTTGTAATTCAAACTTTTATATCAACCGCGTGCGGTTTTTAAAATACTTTATTAAACGTTAAAATAATTGTAAATTACTTCATTAAAATTCTGCTCAAAAATATACTCAAACAAAAATTTTTTTGCTTGACGCAAATAGCCCTAGCTACATGCAAAATCGCAAGGCCTGATATATATATTTATATATATATATATATATATATATATATATATATATATATATATATATATATATATATATATATATATATATATATATATATATATATATATATATATATATATATATATATATATATATATATATATATATATATATATATATATTAGTGGTGTACACTGGATTTTTAGATGTTTAAGTTTTGACACTTACAAGTATTGTGCAAACTCCAAACTTTTGTATGTTCATACTTAAGTCAAATGAGAATGTTTTGCAAAAGGTTGTGGTGATTGGAGCTTGGGGACAAAAAAAAACAATTTTTGGGCCCACCCAGCCCTTAACATGGGAGCAGCAAGTTGATAAAATGATTTTTTTAGTATTTTTGTCTGAGTTTATATTCATCAACAAATTTCAAATTTCATCAAATAATTTCTTATTTTTCGAAAATTATGACCATATAAAGTTTTAACCCCCTCAATTTGAGGGAGCTGTAAACTTTGTAGGGTCATAAAAACTAAGAGGTTATTGCATGAAATTTGAAATTTGTTGATGAATATAAACTTAGATAAAAATACTAAAGAAATTATTTTATCAACTTGTTGCTCCCACGTTAAGAGCTGGGTGGGCCCGAAAATTGGGTTTTTTTTGTCCCCAAGCTATAATCACCACAACTTTTTGCAAAACATTCTCATTTGACATAAGTATGAACATACAAAAGTTTGGAGTTTGCAAAATGCGTGTAAGTGTCAAAACTCAAACATCTGAAAATCCAGTGTACACCACTGTATATGTTTGTGTGTATATATATATATATATATATATATATATATATATATATATATATATATATATATATATATATATATATATATATATATCGATTTTATCAAATGCTGAAGATATGTCTAGAGATAGGAGAATAGTAGTCAAAACATCATCAATGTTTAGCAGGATGTCATCGCATATCTTTAAGAGTGCTGTTTTGGTTGAGTAATAAGATCTAAAACCAGATTGTAGAGGATTAAAGTTGACAGATGATGTTACGTGTGGATGAAGATGAGATAAAGCAAGCTTTTCAGGAATTTTTGAAATTGTATTAAGATTTTATATGAGGCGTAGATTTGTTAGGTCAAATTCTGCTAGTCCTGATTTTTTGGGAATTGGTGTTATTTGAGCAACTTTATATGAGGCTGGGAAAATTACAGATTTGAATGAGAGGTCAGCAAGGTAAGCTATAATTGGACTGAATATTTCTGAACATAATTTAAAGATGTTTGTTGGAATAATATCAAGTGGCAATGTCTTAGGTTTGAGAGTTTTGATTATTTTTGATACATCTGTACCAAATGTTGCTAAAATATCTACAGGGGGAGATAACTCTGAGATAAATTTAGATATTAGGGTTTTTGCAAGCCTTTCTTGGATAGTGTTTTTTATAATTTCAAGTTTGCGTATGAAATATTGTCTTATTATATCGCATTTTGCTTCTGGTATTGTGTTATTAGTTTTAGAACTATTCGAATGTAGTAATTTCTTGGCAATGTTCCATGTTTCATTTTGATCACTGCATGCTGAATTTAGTTTCGCCTTGTAGTGACTACATCTGGATTTGTGAATTGCTGCTGCTGCCTCACGGCACGCAGTTCGATATAATTTTTTATCTGAATAACTACCAGTTTTTCTATAACAACGCTCCAGTATATGTCTGATTTTTTTATTCTTGGCATCTAAAGATAACCATTTATCATCATGTTTACCAAGTCGCATTGAATATTTTCAAATGGGTGCTAAATAATCAAGAACAGTTGTTATACTTGATCTTATTTGTTCAGCATAATTGTCCACGTTGTTTTCAGGTGATAAGCAACATGGCATCACTTGCAATTCTTTTATAAAGCATGACAAGTTTAGTATTTGAAGGTTGATGATAAAGTTCTACCCAATTCATATAGTGATATGAAATACCCTCATCAGATACTCTTGAGTGAAATATCATCATTTCAATTTATTACTAGATCAAGCAAATTGGCTATACCAGTAGTAGATAATATGCGAGTTGGAGATTGAACACGTTGTATCATGTTGTAGGTCTCTAAAATCTCATCAAGTCTTGAATTGCAGGTTATTGGAGTAGTGACTTGGCAGTTAAAGTTACCAAACAGATGTATTTCTCCAGATAATGTTTGAAGGTCCTCTAGGAGTTCAGATAATTCGAAAAAGAAAATTTTTGTTGGAATGATTGGATTTGATTAATAAATAGCAACAATATTGCAGAAAGTATTTGCCAGATTTAGTTTAGCCAATGTACATTCATAAGACAGACAGGTAGACAATAATGAGAGTGGTTTGATATTTAAGTTGTCTCTATATATTATTGCAATGCCCCCTCCAAGATGGTCTGACCGGCAGTATTGAATTGTTTTAAAGCCTGGTGGGACCATATCTTTTTTAATTGCAGTAGGGTCGTCTGACTTTATCCAAGTTTCAGTGAGTATAAAAATATCTAGAGCATGATTTTGCACTATATCATGAATGGTAGCAGATTTTTTTATGGCAGATTGAACATTTTGGATACCCAAGTTTAATGCAGAGGTAACCAAGTTTAATGCAGAGGTTCTTTTAATTTTTATATGTAAATTATGCCAATTTAACTTTGATCCATTTGAGTTCACCTGATCATATACCCCAATAATATTTTTTTTGATTGTGCACATTGTATTGTTGCCTCCCTTATTTGTTCCCTCAACCTCTTGAGCAAGTGCTGCATTTCTAGTATTTCTAACTTTTCTAACTTATATATATATATATATATATATATATATATATATATATATATATATATATATATATATATATATATATATATATATATATATATATATATATATATATATATATATATATATATATATATATATTATATATATATATATATATATATATGTATATATGTATGTATATATATATATATACATACATATATATATATATATATATATATATATATATATATATATATATATATATATATATATATATATATATATATATATATATATGTATATATATATATATATATATATATATATATATATATATATATATATATATATATATATATATATATATATATATATATATATATATATATATATATATATATATATTGCTATAAGTATTGTTAATGTTAACTTGCAAATAGTTATTATAATTATTATTGGTTATCATAAATATTTTGTTTTTCTTTGATTTATTTGACTTTTGAAAAGTTAAAAACCTTTAAATTTTTTTTTTTTTCTAAATCAAATAGCTTTTATTCAAATTTAGCTGGTTCTGTAATTTTTTTAGGTTTACAAACAACAATCAGATTAAACAGTGTAAATTTTGCAATAAATTAGATTTGCACATGAATACACAAATGTATGGTAACTTACCCAAGCTGTATTTTCTTTTATGTAGCAACCATGATATTTGACACAATTTTCATGATTCAGATTAACAAAAAATTTAACTTCCTTAACAATATCCTGCCATTTTTCATTTGAATTTTTTCCAGAAAAAGACATTTTCTTGATAGCCACTCCTTCAGAAGTTTGACTATTTTGCGCATAAAATACAGCTCCAAAACTACCATGACCAATTTCACGAAGATCAACAAATATCTTTTCAGGATCAACATCATAAAATAACCCTGCATATTCTGGGTTTTTTACACCCGCTTTGGGGTTGGGCATTGTTTGCTTCTACATATGGATTTTTTAAAAAAAAACTTTCAAATATGTTACCAACCAGAACATTTATTTTTAAATAAAAATCTAAAATGAATAAAGTAAATCAATTTAATTTTTTAATATTTGCATACAGTTTTGAACTTTTTTCAAAGCAATAAAAAACAAATCACAGTGACTGACATTTTTTTGAATCAACTTACATACTTTTCAAGATTGAGTTCTGCTTCATCTTTTTTGACTTAACACCCTGATTACAAATAAATACTATGTTTTACAAAAAAAAAATAAGTTTTACAAAAGATTCTTTAAGACATCTTTTTAAAATATACTAATACTTTTAACAAGATTCTATATCTCAGCGATTTATATAACCCTATTTAAATGAGTAAAAGATAATTAAACTTATGTAATTTAGCTTTCTAAAGTTGCAATTTCATTTGAGGCTTATCTAAAATAATGAATATCTTTTATCCTTTAATATTAAAATTATATTGAAAGATTTAAACTTAAAGTCGAGGACACATTTTTAAAATATTAAAAGCAAGAACTATCATCTAGTTAAACAATTTCACCGTTCAAATTACAAGCAATTTATCTTTGTTAGGCACATAAAAATGCTCTAAAAACTCATAAAGTTGATAATAAATACATTTGATAAAAAAATTTACTATTGAAAATTTATAAAACTAGATATATAGACGGTAATCTATTCTTAAATCCAAACATAAACATTAAAATCTAATTCACAATGATGAGGCACCAAAATACTTACAGCTGTATATACTATATCAGGTTACTATATAAATTTAACGTGCTTTTTAAAGTGCTGACCTATAAAATTTTGTCAACTCTAATGCTAACTACACGCAAAATTACTGTTATTACTTGTAATAATAAACAAAAGCAACCTAAAAGTAATAATTCTAGGTAAAATCCGCAGTATAATCGCCAAAAAATGTCATACCGAAAAATAGTTTCGGATTTAGGAATGCATTGTATAGCATTTAAACATAAACAGAAAATGCTTTTTAATTGTTTTTGAATAAAAATAATCGACGTTAAACTTTGTTTGTGTTTAATCTTAAGGAATCGGACGGAGGGGAAAGACATATTCAAGAAACGCATAGGGGTCATTCCATTTCGGTTGCGACAATTACCTAAAAAGGCGTATATAAGAATGGAATATAAATAAGATAAATAAAGTAAATAAGAATGGAGTAGTTATAGGCTTCTTTTTAGTAATTATATGTCAAGGATTGCAATTATTTTTGCTTTTTTTTGAGATAGATAACTTTAACACGCGGAGAAAATTTTAAGCTTTTTCAGTGGCGGATTGGCGGATTGAGGTTTAGTGTCGCGGGGGGGGGGATCAATAAATAGGGAGCGACTGGGGCTGGGTGAGGTTTATTTTTTATTTTAAGTTGATTTAGATGCCCCAAGAAGTCCTTACGGTCTTATCACAGAGCACTCGCGGAAAAGCATTTAATAGGAAGTTTACGTCTCATTCCCAACCTGTCGCAAACTTTGAGCCACGGATCTTGTGTTTCTGGGGCAAGTGCGCTACCACTGCGTCACGGCTTCTTACGGCTCTAAGTGCGCTACCACTGCGTCACGGCTGCTTTGAACCCCAAAAATTATTTTTATGACTAAAACACTTTATAAGTGTTTTTATGTGACTTTTATTATACATATTACAAATATATGGCATTAAACAACCTAATTTTTTTTTAGTTTCTTTTGTTTATTTTAGTTAAAAATTATTTTTTATAAAATAAGAAACATTTAATATTACTAAAATAGTTCGGTCATTTAAAAATGTATTTAACTAGACATATTGCAAAAGTTAGCATTTAGAACAAAAATTCACTTTTTAGGTAGTTTACGCAAATTCTGCAAAATTTCATTGAAGCAAAACGATTTATCGACAAGCCAAAGATAATGTTTTCAGTCAGCTCACGTTCAATTGAAATTAATGCTGATCCAGAAAAACGTTCGTTTGTCATTGTTGATCTAAAATAATCTTTTATAATCTTTAGTTCACTGAAACGTTTTTCAGCATTACCAGATGTAACAGGAAGAGTAAAGTAGATTTTGTAAAGTATAGACAAGTTAGGGAGACTGGGTGCTATCTGTTTCTTAATGAAGAACTGAAATACATCTTTCAATTGAACGACAGTTTTCAGTGATGGGGATATCGATGCATACACATTATTAAGTTTCATACTCTACGACTGTTTCTTCAGTATTTACGTCGTTACAATAAATTTTTTTAATGAATTTATATTTTCTTCAGATAATTTTGATGGATCAAGGCAATCAAAATGTGTAACTGTGTTACTATAGTCGTGAAATTGTTTAGGTATTTCACGACTTTAGTAAAAACATCGAAGTAGGTTTCACATTTTAGTCGTGTAGTTGGATCATCACTTCTTTTATCTCTCCACAGCTCTCCTGCCATGCGTTTCTTTTTGGCATGATGTTAGGTTAACTGAATTTAAAGAAAGACGAGTTTTCTTTAAATTCAGTTTCTACATCTAGTTCGGCACATTTTTAACTAATAAATTATTTGACTGCTTTTTGCAGAACTTCAAAAGTTTCATCGTTTCTCATATCTACAAACTTATTTTTTGTAACATCAATCAACTGTTTTGTAACATCAATCAACTGTTTTGTAACATCAATCAACTGTTTTGTAACATCAATCAACTGTTTTGTAACATCAATCAACTGTTTTGTAACATCAATCAACTGTTTTGTAACATCAATCAACTGTTTTGTAACATCAATCAACTGTTTTGTAACATCAATCAACTGTTTTGTAACATCAATCAACTGTTTTGTAACATCAATCAACTGTTTTGTAACATCAATCAACTGTTTTGTAACATCAATCAACTGTTTTGTAACATCAATCAACTGTTTTGTAACATCAATCAACTGTTTTGTAACATCAATCAACTGTTTTGTAACATCAATCAACTGTTTTGTAACATCAATCAACTGTTTTGTAACATCAATCAACTGTTTTGTAACATCAATCAACTGTTTTGTAACATCAATCAACTGTTTTGTAACATCAATCAACTGTTTTCTGTTCAACTGTTCAACAATCAACTGTTTTGCAACATCAATCAACTGTTTTGCAAATAAATTGTCTATATCTTCTCGTTGCAAACAGTTAGATAAAACAAAAAGATTAGTTAACAACTTTGGCAAAAATAACATTAGAAAAACAAATGAACGTTTTTTTTATTAAAACTGATAGTCCAATAGCTTCTGCTCTAACATTACCTGTCTTTAGATTCTTCTAGATTTATATCTTCTAGAGTGGCTTTAGATTTATATCTTCTAGAGTGGCTTTAGATTTATATCTTCTAGAGTGGCTTCTAGATTTATATCTTCTAGAGTGGCTTTAGATTTATATCTTCTAGAGTGGCTTCTAGATTTATATCTTCTAGAGTGGCAGAAAAAGGATCATCTTGTATCAGAAAGTTGTTTCAGAGTGTCTACTGTTGATTCATATAGACGTTTCTGGTGTTCTTGGAGAATATGAAGTTGTGTTAACTAGACGTAGTACAATTTTTCAGCTGTCCCTAAAAACATCTGGACATCGCTGTTTACAGACGATGATCACCAAATTTAAAACATGAGCACAACAATGAACATAGATGGCATTTGGTGAAAGCGCTTTTATTCGAGTTTGAAGACCAATTTTAATTCCAAACATTACATAAGCACCATCATATGCTTGTCCTCTGCAGAGTTAAGTATCAATGTTTTTATTTCAGAGTTTATTATCAATGTTTCGAAAGAAAATATTTTAAAACCTCTGTTTTAAAATAATTCCCCTTTCTCTCTTTCCATTTGTACTTATTTTGATTCTTTTCATTTTGTTCTTCGTTGGTAATTTTAATTTATAATTTTTTTTTTGTGAATGTTTTAGAGGGCGCAGTTTGATCATTCTAGGAGGCGTGGGGAGGGGGGGGGCAGCTCGCCTTTTCCCCCCTCCCCCCACGCTCTATACTAAATCCGCCACTGATACGTTTGAGCTTATGTCAAATGAGGATGCTTTGCCAATTGCTAACTTGAGAACAAAAATACCCCAAAACTTGTGATCCTTTTTCACCCTAATGTTAGAATAAAAAACTGAATTTTTTTTTTTACTTTTTTTAAAATATATTTATATTTATTGATTGATTAAATTATGACAATGTAAAAAACTTACAAACCGTAGTTATTAAAGATCGGAAACTTTACATGGTCATGACTTTCAAGCTCTATTTTTTTTTAAAGGTAAATGTGAAATCTACTGATGAATATGAATTTAGTTTCGGCTTGTAAATAATAAAATTGAGTAACACATTGCCCTCGCATTTAGGGTTAGAGAAGAGGCACAAAATTTGGGGTAAATTTTGCATTTTCTCAGAATAATTCAAGTTTTTAACTCTAGCAGCAGCTATAGTAACGAAGTAAAAAATTTACATTTTTCAAGTTACAAAGTTTTAACGATAATTTGCTTTTCTATCTTTTTTGCTATTATTACTACTACTACTATTACTTTTTACTCTTTTTTAAATCATTGTTGTGTTCTTTATAAATGTTTTCCTTATAAATGTGTTCCTTATAAATGTCTTATAGAGTTATCCAGATTTGTAAATTGTACTTTTCGCGATCTTGAATTCAGGCCAACGTCAATGCCAACGCGAATGCCGATCTTGAAGTCACACTAACGCCAACGTTTCTTTAAAGTTGAAATTTTCAGTATCAACGCTTTCTGGTGCCAATTCGCCGCCTACTATGCAAAAAAAATTCGGTGTCAATGGAACATTGTCATGAGGATTATCAGGCTGATTGGTATGTTAAAGGTCTTAAGTTGATCAAGGCTTCTGCTCTAGTGAATGGAACAGAATTGCAATTGTTAATGCTCCAGTGCAGTCATTGATTCTTTGTCATTAATACCAGCATTACCTAAAATGCCATATATATCTTACTTATAATTATTTCATATACTCCTTCAAAATGTGGCCTGATCGGAGGATTAAAATTCCACTAAATACCTTTTTAGCTGTTATCAACATAGATGTACAAAATACAGTCA